TTTGTTTTTAGTAGTGTGGAAAGTTAGCAGCTTGATTATATCATTATTTTTGCTAACAAGTTACATGTTCTACTCATTTTTGCTGATGCTGCTGTTAGAAGTACTCAATGATGTGGGTTTCGCTATTTGGTAAAGTTCTTTGTTTTCTAGTCCTGGGCATGAGGATAAACTACATCCGGCAGCAAAGCCTCTGATCAGAAGATTGGAAGTTTTGAGGAGCATGAAACCACCTCTTAAGTGTCCACAATGACCCAGTGTGGTAACACCTGTTAGGATCCCAACTATGGGCAAATAGTGAACCCCTAAACAAAAGCAAAACACTATGAAAGTATAAAAATACATTTTTATAGTAAAAATACCAACAATACATATATAGTAAGAGTTGTTATATAAAAAGTTAGCAACAATATATTTTTAAAGCAAAATGACCAGCAATATATTTTATGTGGTTGGGGGCATACAATTGCATTCAAAATATTTAGATTTTGGCATTAAATATCCCTTAGAGGTTGATAAGCTGCTAAACAAGAACCAAATTATGAATTTTTATGATTTTTTAGTACCAGTCAAGAGGGTCTTATGAAGAATTGTCTTTTTTTTTTAAGATTTATAGTATTAACTCATTTGAGGCCATTTATGAACTAGTACCCATTGCAATTAAAATATGGCATCTTGGCTTCAGTCACTTTCCCATCATTGTAATGTAGCTTCTCTGTGTCCTTTCTATAAATATTTTCATAGTAATTGTTCCGATGAGCTTTCCATTTTGGTACTTTGACTTTATGAATTTAAGCATACTACTAGATTGGCAGCAAGGTCTCATCATTTTACAGTTGAAATGGCTAGATGTAACACTAATTTCTATACTAACAGTTTCTTCTCTCACACTTATTACTTATAGAGCTCTCTTCTGGTTTCTTGTTTACCAGTCAAGTTTGATCTTCAAAAATTTAAATGCAATTTCAATTGTTATATTTTGCCTTCTTAATTCCTATTCAGTTATTGTTCTCTCTCCTTAATGTCTTTTTCTCACATTCTTTCACACTCAGTAGCCTAGGTTCTTAGTGGCTTTATTGCCTTGCTTGAGGTGAAATGATTTTGAGCTTTGATAGGCAGTTCCCAAATCATAAGATTAGTACATTGGATGCAGTGTAATATTTGCAAAGTTTGTTTGCTTTTATTTTAAATGTGTAACTTATAAGCCAACAAATTTAGTAACTCTTTTTATTTTTATTTAATTTTCCCATCTTTTTGTACATTTTGTTTTAAAATATAATAATAATAATAATAATAATAATAATAATAATAATAATAATATTTGGAGCAACTCAAAGGAATATAACCCCAATGCAAAGTGGATCAAATGAGAAGAAGAAAGAATGCAGGATAAACCTGTACAAGAATGGAAAAATATAACCAAAAATAATGTTAGACAAGCTCTAACAAAATGCCAAAAATGAAAATCCCCAGGAAATGACAAGGTACCCAACTTTTGGCTTTATCATCTTTCATCAATCCATAAACTTCTTGCACAAACTTTATCAGTGCTAATTCATAACCACAGTGAAATTCCAGAATGGATCGCTGAAGGTATTACATATCTCCTACCAAAAATGGGTGAAATAGATGATCCCAAAAATTATAGGCCAATAGTATATCTGTCCACCATATGTAAATTGATCACGTCTGTTCTGAAAACCTGTACTTATTCTTTTCTTGATGGAAACAATATCCTTCCTTTGAATAGAAGGGATTTTGAAGAGGTTCAAATGATTGCAAAGATCAACTGCTAATAAATAAAATGATCATGAAAAATTGCAGGAAAAAAGGTAGAAATCTTAGCACAGCTTGGATAGATTACTATAAAGGTTTTGATAGTGTGCCACATTCTTGGATCCTTAAGGCTTTGGAAATGTACAAAGTCTCCTTGGCGATAGTAAGTTTCCTTAAATATAGCATGGAACTGTAGAAAACCACATTATGCTTAAATCACAGCAAAGGCACTGCCACTGCCAATTATATATATACACTTGATAAGATACCAGAAGTGTTGAAACAAAATGGCTATTTTTATAGTGATGCTATAATATATCTATGTTATAATTTTTGAACAAATAATATTTGCTCTACTCTGTATTGAGCACTCTTTTAAAAATAGTACTTTTGGTTATTGGAATTTATTCCGTCTACACCAATCCTATACTTGTGTGTGTGTGTGTGTATATATATATATATATATATATATATATAAAATATATATATATAACCTCATGTTGCCTAACAATCTCACTACAAAAAACTTAGAATAGCAATTTGAACTGAGTCTCTTTCGTGCAGTGTCATTGGCAAGGGTTACTGCTTTGTCTTAGTTGATTTGATTTTGAAATTGAGTTTTTTATTGCATTTTCCTTTTTTGTAGTTTCTTTCTTTTTTTTTTTGGAGTGTGGGTATGTTAAGAGAATATTGTTTTTTAGTTTTTGGTTTCTCTTTTTATTTTATTTTGTTGTTTCAAGTGTCTTCATTTGGTAAACTTGCCTTTGCAAATTTTAACAATACTCTGGTTTGTTTTGTATCTAGCTAGAAGTTAATTTTTTGGTGATCTTTTAGCGGTTTGAACAGCCTCAATTCACTTTATACATTTTTTACTTTAGAAATGTCTCAGCAAACAAAAGAAACAACACAAAAGCTGTTTTTATAATAACAATCTTCATTTTACTGTATGACATGCAAAACAATCAAGTGTGTGATGTTTATATAGTAAGAATTCTAATTAATAGCAGGAGTTATTTACCTTTAACTTGAAATTCTTAAAGCCTTTTAAGAGAAAATATTTTTTATCTGAACACACAGAAAGGATTTCAGTTCATGAAATAAAGAACAGACTCAATGAAAGAAATGTTCTTCGATAAAAAGTGTTATAGACTGGAAAATTCATATGAGAAGAGTTCAATGAAACTTGTTTAGTGAAAGAAAATTGTAGTCTTCACTTGTAATATCAAGAAATTGTGTTTGGTACTAAAAATGTAGCTTTTAGTTTTTTTAACTTCTGAATAAAATTTAGCGTAAATAAGTTGAAATAACTTGCCGCTTAAATTGTTCACCAAAGAGAGATGAATAGGAGTGAGAGAATTCTGGAAAGCTGAGATTATGTTTATAAGAACTTTTAGCTCCAGAAGATGTGATGTAAAATTTCTCACTAGTAAGAGTCGAAAGTTGTATTCTCTTGGACAGTATGTTTGTTGCTAAAGAAAATCTCACTGTGAGAAGTTGAATAAGTTTCTATTGCTTGTAGTTGAAGGAGTGAATGAGATGAGTTAAGAGATGTGCAATGTTCATACATATGTGGGCACGTGCTTCTGTCATGGCGTCTTCATAGCATTTTCCCTTAAAAGGACAAACGCAATTTCTCCACAGCTACATCTTGTATATGTGAGAGAAGGCAAAAGAGGAAGAGTTGAAAATGTCACTTGGTATTTATAACGTTGTATGTCATGTGATAGGCTTGAAACAGACAGATTTTTGGCAATAAATTAATTTTAACCATGAGGACATAGACAAAAGCATCATATTGGCATTAATTGACCAATCAGGAGTTAGAGAAAATATCAAGGCTCTGTGATCCACTTTTTTTAGAGATTTTGTCAATCGCAGTACTGATACGTAGGAAATGTATTGGAACCTTTTTTAACCTATAGAATTAGATCACAAATAAAATATTATTAAATTGAAGTACGCTATTTACATTATTCGGATTATTGTCCTCATCTTTGTCGTTGTAATAAATATGACAACAAAGATGAGAACAATAGTCCGAATAATGTAAATAGAGTGTAACTGTAATAATACCTCATTTCAGAAATATAGACAGACTAAAAAATTGAAGTAGAACACTAAAATCGCAGCATAAACTGGCCTTGGTACAATAAACACATTATAAAAAAAATAAAAATTCTAGACAACACTTTGTCACCTTTTGAAAGAAAATTATCCTGGGGGGAAAACTGAATTTGTTCCCTCGCAGAATAAGCTATCTTCTGTTGGCAAAAGGGAAGGGACGTTTGTTTGCTTTTTACCTCGATGTTTTATATGCAAATAAGTAAGGGATAGTACTCTACAAATTATCATTTAATAGTTGTCTCCCTTGAAAGAGAATATTTTTAAAAAAAATAAAGTAAAAAATAAATAGTATTTTGACTATGAATTTTGCTGCAAATTGCATAGATTTTCTTTACATTCTATAATAAAACTAAAAGTAGGTACCAGTTAATTTAATTAATTCCCTACCTCTGTGAGTGTGTGATAACAATGCACCGTTTTGATTACTTTAACTTACAGATAATCTAATCATAATCATTAATAATTACATTACAAAATTAGACTAGAAAATGTTCTATTACATTTCTCATTTTTTAGTATAATAAAAACTTAGGATAATGTCCTCTTTCCACGTGCTTTAGTTTTTCACTACTTGCTTAATGAATGACCAGTAGCCTAAAAAAAAGAAAAAGCTTTTCACCAGTTTTATGTTCTCACATCCCAACTGGAAAGAAAAAAATACATTACTTATGTTAGCAGAATTTTAAAATATATTCTTATTTGCTTTGTTGTTGAATAATACCAAGATTTCGTAGTCATATGTTCAACATTTTTATCATCATTCTTTCTCTTTAAAACTCGCGGTTAGGTAAGTTTAACTAAACACTAGTGTTTACTACAGAGAACTCTTCAAATTAGAGAACTGGTTTCTTTTACTTTTTTTTGTAATTTATTATTCTCTCTTAGAGTGTAAGAATTATACCTATTATAATTTTGTTTCATAATGTTATTTTTTAATATTGTTTTCAAGGGTTAAAAATGAAAATCTTAAATTGAAAAAAGGCGAAACTAACGCTAAATCAGAGATTAGTTCGATTAGTTTTCCAAGATGTCGTCCATGGTCATTACCGCGCTTTTTTCATTGTCAGTTCAACATTAATCAAGGATTCCATGTTTTATTTTAGTTATTCTTCCGGTAAGTCTTTCACTTTTGTTAAAAAAGATTTTGTTACAACAAATTGAAATAATTTTCCACCTGTTATTAACTTATGCTTTAAGTATGACGAATGATCACCGAGTCAATTGTCTGAAAATTTTTTTTTTTTTTACATTTTTTTTTTCCCTATTTTCGCTGAATATTTAATGGAAAAAATTGAACTGCCACTGTAATCAAATCAAATGACACTAATTTACCCACTTGTAAATGTAGATGAATCTATAAGGAAATTTCGTATAGCCGTAAAAAAAAATTTCCGGCAACAAAAATTATTCCTTTTCCAAATTCTCGATCAATTCTGGAACACATTTTTATTTACTTGTAAAAATAAATGCATTTGTTTTTAGTTTCGGTTTCTTTTAAAATACGTCATTATTTATTTTGAGTTTCAGTGTTAATCGTTTTTTGTTTTTATTTTTTACAAAGAAATACCCCCTACCGAAAAAAAAAGGAAAAAAATCGAAGGGGGGAAATCTTTCTCTCTTTATTTGACCGAACTTGATTAGCCGCCATTTGTTCTGCTCACCTCGGCGTATTTTTCATTACTGTTGTTTGTTGATGGAATTTATTTATTTATTTATTTTTAAATTATTAATTTTAAAAAAGGATCTCTTGTTGTTAAAAATGAAAATGGATAATTTCGTTACTTTTCTTACAACACTGACTGCTTTCTATTAAAACTTCTGGTTTCACTAACATTCATGATTCATTGTATTTTTTTTTCCTCAATCTCTTCTTTACATCACAAAGAGGAAAAATAAATTTTTATAATCAGACAATCAAAATTTTTTTTTTCTCTTTACTACATTTTATAATTACATGTGTAAATCTCCACATGCAAGAAAGTTTGGGCTATCTATGAAAAGTTTAAAGGCCTAAAAATAGGTTTAACCACTTTATTTACTTACTCCCACTTTATTTCCCTGTTTTCACTGATCGTACGTAAAAAAAAAAAAAAAGTTATTCTTTTATTGATTGTAAAATCATTTAAAATAGTTTAGTTTCTGATGTAGGTTCAGCTTGGTAATTTAAAAACAAAACAAATTACTCTTGGTCTTCTTAATGTTAATATTTTCCACTGGATGTCCTACTTAGTTTCAGACTCTCATTTAAGTACGTATGTGTGCATGCGTGTTCGTTCACGTGTGGTTTAGTCTACTTTGTAATATGAATTTCTCCCCTTTTAAAATAACAAAATCTGCAGTTACCTTTGTTACTTAAGAATTTTTAACACTTTTATTTTCAGCACTACTTAATCAGCTTCAGTTTTTTTCTTTCCTTTTTTTTTTTTTTCTTAATATTCTTTCGCATTCATTTATGCAGTATGTTTAAACACCGTATGAGAAAATCAGTGTATCGAAAATTTAGCCCTTAGAGTTTACCATAGTTTTTGTTATGTGTCAGGTTAAAGGTTTTTGGACCTCTTCATTTGTCCTTTTGAATACATTTTCATGTAAATTCTTTTATTATTATTATTAAAAGATTGACAAATATGTGTTAACAAATCTTTCTGTAATTCCATTACGGACTTTTCAACGTCTTCACGACCGAAGACAACGTCGTTAATCATCAGAGATGGTCAAATTGCATTTGTTTGAAATGTAGGTACACATCATTACACTTTTTATAATTAATAATGCTCTTCATTACATAAAAGTTTTAAATTCTTACTTGACTAAAATCAGTTTTTGAAAAGTCGCTTCAGTTTATGAGAGTTAACTCATCTTCGGACTTGGTTTCAAGAATGATACTGTAGTAAATTCAATACGAAAACTTTTTAGGACTTTTTGGTACTGATAAAGCAGGAACCTCCACGTGTATAAAATATTCTACAAGTTATTTACATTGAAATATTGTCAAGAAATATCAAAGTTAGTTTCTTTAAAAAAAAAAAAAAAAGTTTTAAAATATTGTTTACATTTAATTTTATTTTCTGTAATAAATTACTTCAAAACGCCATGATGGATGTATTCATACTTTAACTTTTTAGTAGTAAAAACAAGGTGAAAAATGAGTTTTATCATCAAGGAAACTTTTGATCTGAACCCCAAGAAACTAGGTATTTTCTGAAAGCAAACAATATGTTCTTTCATTTAAAAGTAAAATTGGCTGGTGTTAAATGTCTCAAAAAAATTTTCAGGTGGTAAAATGTGAATAAAAAAAATAGTGAAAATTTTGCTTTCTTTTTTTTTTTTTTTTTTTTTTTTTTTTTTTTTTTTTTCCTTCAAACAAAAATTTTCCGCAATAATGGGGAATTAACCTTTGGGTGGGGGGTCAGAAAGCCTAAAATCATGGTCAAACTATTTCAGGCATATTGAGAGTTTGAAGCAAAACAAAATTCACAGGGGTTCGTTAAAATGTGACAAAGTCCATTGGTAATTTTCAATTATATGGCCGCCAGGGGTTAAAAAAAAAGTGACCTCAGTTTTTGTTTTTTTTTTTCTTTTCTCTCTCTCTTTCTATCTCTAATAGCAAGAAACTGAAATTGATATGGGTGACTGAAAGCTAAAGCCAGCCATCAATAAAACAAGCTGTCATCAACTTGTAATAAACCCTAACGATTTACAAGAGGTGAGCAAAGTGTCCAGGGACAAAAAAAAAAAACTTATGTGAGACAGTTCAGGTGGTGTAAGTTAAATCTGTTAAAAAAAAATTCAACATATGGCTTCATGTTTTTGTATTTTTTTTTTTTTTTTACACGAGGGGCGGGGTAATAACAAAAACACTAAGACAACACTTTCCACCCTCTCCCCACTGCATGTCCTTTGTCCATCATTGGCTCATATAGGGGTTCCTTTTATTCTAACTTAAAGAGAAAGGGTTCAAGTTTTTTTTGTTTTGTTTTTTTTTTAAAAGTGTTGTTTTTTGTTTTTTTTTCTCAGAAAATTGTCCATAATTTCTTAATGCTGACCACCACCCTGGTGACATTTTTTTTACACCCAAATCGAAGATTAATTGCCAGTGTATAAATGCCTGTGCAAACAATGACATGGACTGAAAAGATCTAGAAGAAGATTGATCGAAAACTTGTTGCACATAACTGTTTTCTATGGTCAGTTTCCATTGTTTTATCTTGATGTTGTTATTTTCAGACAGCCAAGTCATCAAGGATTCAGGAAAACAGTTTGGCTCACGTTTGCTTTGAGGACTTTGCATTCTTATGAGGGGTTTAATGTTACTGACAAATGGAAATTTTTGTTATGTTGGATTTTCCTATGACAAAAACAAGCATTTTAAACAGCTATGTGTGATAAGCCAGATTAAGACGTTTCCTGAAATGATGTTAGTTTCTGATACTGTTATCTGCACAAGTTCTGCTGATGCTATTATTTCTAAAAGTCTTACCAGTTTATAAACTCAGGATAAGTGATAACTCAGTTAATTGCATGCAGGACATTAGTAATGATCAACAGCTATCTTTATGTTGATGCTTCAATTCAGAATTTGTCTAGTTATTTCATGATGTTAACAGATTCTTATTATCTTAACGTGTGGAATGAATATTGAAATTTTTGTTCTTTTGATAAAACAATACCCCTTCATCATGTTTGTGAACATGAGCAAATGCAAATAAGCAAACTCTTGAATGCTGAATTTTAAACAGCATCAATTGTCATAAACAGTGGTTTGGTAGAGCTGATGTATAGTTTTATACTATGTAAATATTTCATATCAGTGGTGAAAATGTTAATTTGGTGCATGCACAAGCAAAAAAAAAAATTTCTTAATTGGCTGTAAAAATACAGATTCTAGATTTTGAAAAAAAAGTGTATTGTCCAATGAGGTATTGAAAAAATGCAGAATTTCTAAAATTCTTGAAAAAATTGTTTCATGTTTTGTCATAGACATTATTCTGAAAAGACATTAATTGCATGTATCTTAATGTCTTCATGTTTTAAACTAGAAAAGCATAGATGGCAAGGGGAAAACTGTACTTAATGATTTTGAATTAAAAACATCATTCACTAAGTTTGTTAATAATTTCTACTGCTGCTGGCTGTTATGGTAGCACGATCGATCATTTGATCTCTTTGTTTTTGCTACTTGTTCTTCTCATTTGGGACTTTTAACTCGATGCATTTGAGAAGTGGTTGAGCATGTGCACTAATCTAAAGAATTCCTACCTGCTTATCTATCAATCAAAGTTGAGGGAGTGTATATCTAAAGGGGTACCAGATAATATTTCAAACGAAACTAGGTAAAATCAAAACAAGTTTTGTATTGTATGGGGGTAAACTAAACACCACCTTGGCAAAGACATACAGTGGAAGTTTATTTAGAAGACTATTTTAACAAGATGGACAAGTACCTGAAGATCATCAACAAACAGGTTTGAGATAAATCTAATGTAAGTACTCTATAGCATAGTGGGTGTATGGGTGATGTGATGGATAGTGGCTCAGAATGAAAAATCAGTGTGTTGGAATTGTGGTAGTCCTCTTTTGGGCAAACACCCTTGAGAAAGGTATGATCCAAATCACGGATTATCCTTTTGGCAAGGGATAGTACTCTAAAGTCAAAACCCGCTCAGGTTATAGTAGAGACATTGGTGCCAGGATGTTGGATGTGGTCAGTAGCAGAATCTGGCAGACCAGCTTTGTGGCATTAAACTGCAATGGTATCCTACAAAAGATTCCTCATACAGGAGAATGGACAAGACTTAATTATTCAATTGGAAACAGCAGGAAGACTAACACTATGTATGTATCTTCTAATATAAGCAACCCAAAACCCTATGATTACACTTGGAGGTAATCCCAACAGATGATCTAGTTAGTAGTTTGGTAATAAGGAACTGGCCTTTCGTTTTTAAAATCTTGAAAGTGTCAACTGCAGTCTCGGTATTTCTCACTTTAATGGCTTTATTGGGTAAATTCACAGAAGCAAATGAGCAGTTGTTGTAAGTAAAATGTGCAATAATCAGTTTTAGTTAGGGACCTCCACTTTTTTCGGCAAAATTTCCGATACCTAACTTTAAA